AATAACTTTGATCTACTGCTATTCATGTTTAACAGTATTATTTTTGCGGGCTAGTTTCTCTGTTTCATCTGAAGACAGTATAATGACACAATCTGACAGAAGAAACAATTGTGAGAAGAATGATGAAAAATATAAATCGCAATGTGATGGACGGCAGGTAAATGTTTATATACGCGCTAATATGCGCAATTCCTTGAAACCCATCGCATTTGGGCAGGCCTTATCAATTTTTTAGGGTTCCGTGCCCAACGGGTGAAACAGGACCCTATTACTAAGACTCCGCTGTCTGTCTGTCTGTCCGTCTATCGCCAGGCTGTATGTCATGAACTGTGATGTTAGACAGTTGAAATTTTCACAAATGACTTATTTATGCTGGCGCTATAACAACTAATAAACAGAATAAAAAATATTTAAGTGGCTCCCATACGCACACATGATCTTTTTGCCGTTTTTATAGATAATGGTCGGAACCCTTCGTGCGCGAGTTCGACTTGCATTATTTTTATTTGCAGTATTAACGAAAACTTTAAATAATATAACAATTTTACTTACCAGTTTGCTCAACTGGTTGGCACCAATATTTAATAATATATGTGACGCATATCCGGATGGATAAACTGCGTGGCGTTTAACAATTGTTGCGCTTTAAATAATATGTGAATTGTATATAAGTGACTGTGACAGATGATATAGAACGAATGATACGGAAAGAGATAGCAGTCTATAGATTTACAATGTAATTACACCAATTGGTGTAATTACATTTATTAATTTTAGTAATTACATTAATTACACCAATTGACTGCCTCAATTTTAGTGCGCTACTAGCATATCTTTGTATATAATACCATTGATTGTCACGGGTAAACACGTATTACGCAACACACGTTTTTTACGTTATCTACAATTCCATATGTACGTTCATATAAATATTGATTTATGTTATAAAATATCAATGAGCTATTGTATTTTTGCTTTTTCTTCAATTCGTCTCTAAACGTTTACATCTTCAACTATATAAATACTCGAATACAATAGTGGGAAATGGTCGACGAATACAAAACGTAAGCAGACGTTTTTTTGAGTAAACAGCCAAACAATACGCAACTACTGTCGTCCAAAAATTCACCTATAGCGTTACGTATAACTGACAGTTGGAATAGGACAGAAAGTGAAAAAATGAGACTCAGTTTTTTTCACATTTAAAAATACGATCCTCCACGTCTGGCTTTTTGTTTTCCTTGACTGAAATGTATGTAAATGTTTTTTCTGGCCACGTTATTACATTTGCTTTGTTCGCTCTTGTTGTGTGTGGGAGTAATGAGAAATCTAAGCGTCAGAAAAAAAAGCATAAAAAAAAGTTTGTGAGGGAACGGGACGTTTCTAAAAAACGGCCAAGTGAGAGTCGGACTCGCGCAAAGGGGTCCGTACCATTATCTATAAAAACGCAAAAAAAATCACATCTGTTTTATTTTTTAGTATTTGTTGTTATAGCGGCAACAGAAATACGTCATCTGTGAAAATTTCAACACTATCACGGTGCATGAGATACAGCCTGGTGACAGACGGACAGAGAGACAGAGTTCGGAGTCTTAGTAATAACCCTTTTTCCCCTTTGGGTACGGACCCTAAAAATGTTAAAAAACAAAAATATTATTTTTCTTTTGTACTAAATAAATATTCTGCATATCATGAAAATATTCAAATATCTTAAGTTTTCTGAACTGTTCGTACTTTCACTATTTTGTTGGTATGTTTTAAGCGATATTATGACATTTTCACCCTTTAATGAAACGCTTGCGTGCTATTTCCTATACATTTTTAATGAGGCTTCACAACGAGGTTCTTTTTACTTCGAACATCGCTTGGAAATATATGTTTATTTCCATTTTTCACGACGACACGATCCAAATAAACCATAACCGTATTTACGAGGTCAAGTCCTCTGTTAGATTAATTTAAAAAAAAAATGTGAAATTCCATTGCCTAAAAGATACTTTAGAAAAAGTACCCATTGAGAGCAATAATGACAGTAAAATATGTAGAAAAAGTGCGAAAAGATTGCCGACGCTGTGGGAATCGAACCCACGTCTTCGGCATTCGCGGCCTGACGCTCTAGCCACTGAGCTAAACGGCTGATTACCACACCGACGAAAATCTTAATGCATTCTTCCACATTGTTTTCTTAGCATTTGAGGCAATGCTTGGCGCCATCTATTGTTATATCCTTTCCAGCATACAAACAACTTCGAATATCGTTTTACAACGATAATTCGAACGAGAGATGTCGCCATTGCTTTTTTTAGAAATTTAAATTGTTTATAGTGCTAATCTTTGCACTTAAGATTGAACATTAAAATATGTAGAAAAAGTGCGAAAAGATTGCCGACGCTGTGGGAATCGAACCCACGTCTTCGGCATTCGCGGCCTGACGCTCTAGCCACTGAGCTAAACGGCTGATTACCACACCGACGAAAATCTTAACGCATTCTTCCACATTGTTTTCTTAGCATTTGAGGCAATGCTTGGCGCCATCTATTGTTATATCCTTTCCAGCATACAAACAACTTCGAATATCGTTTTACAACGATAATTCGAACGAGAGATGTCGCCATTGCTTTTTTTAGAAATTTAAATTGTTTATAGTGCTAATCTTTGCACTTAAGATTGAACATTAAAATATGTAGAAAAAGTGCGAAAAGTCTTATGGCGCCAAGCATTGCCTCAAATGCTAAGAAAACAATGTGGAAGAATGCGTTAAGATTTTCGTCGGTGTGGTAATCAGCCGTTTAGCTCAGTGGCTAGAGCGTCAGGCCGCGAATGCCGAAGACGTGGGTTCGATTCCCACAGCGTCGGCAATCTTTTCGCACTTTTTCTACATATTTTAATGTTCAATCTTAAGTGCAAAGATTAGCACTATAAACAATTTAAATTTCTAATAATGACAGTAATTTATAAATAGTATTGCCAGTCTTTGTACGATTATTAGGGGATTTCGAGATTTAACGTAGTAACGTAACCATTTTTTTACGAACGACAAAGCAAACCGACTTCAAATATCTCGCTCTGTATTCATTTTATAATTGATTTTCAGGAGTTATCTAAGCATCTCCGGAGCCCAACATCCAATACCATTAACATTAATATGAGTCCACATGGGAAGCACCAGCTTTCAAATAAAAGAGAATCATCTAAATTGGTCCACCCAGTAGAAAGTTCCGAGTTAACAAACATAAAAAAAAAATACAGTCGAATTGAGAACGTCCTCCTTTTTAAGTCGGTTGACAATTTATGTGATTCATTAGTTAAGGGTTCTCGTTTTCGGTGTTTAAATCAGTGTTATTATAACAGAATGAACAAACGGTAGTTGTCTTGTGGCTACTGTTAGCTACTGACATCCGCAAGACCATTATGCTTGCAGTAACGTTGCCGCCTGATCAGTGTTAGACTCGGCTACCTCACTCTGGCGAACCTCAATAGTATCAACTTAAACTTTACCAAAAACTAAACGTGAACATTTTCATTAAAAAAAAATGTTTATTGTTTTACTATATGTATTGTTTTATGTAACTTTTATCAAAAGGTGCTTTGCCCGAAAAGATAAAAAAATTATAAGTAGAGTATTTTTGTAACAAATATTTTTATATCAAATATATTACTGTAATTTTTAAATGTTTAGTTTTCCCCAAGAAGCTTACATTGGAAGCATAAAATTTTATAAATCAGTTAACAATTTGATTATCGATATCTAGATTTGAACCCTTAACAACCCCGTGAACAAAATTTTTAATACATCCATGCAGCAACCGTCGCATGTTTCTGTTGCCGGGGACAAGTCCCCAACCCTTAGCAACAAAAGTCCCAAAACAGAATAAGATAAGGTAGAAGCTACACACATCGTTTGGTCCGTACCTTGTATAAGGTTGAAAACCATGAAAAAATGTGGTATCATACTTTGGCCCTTAGGATTTACTGTCCCAAAACTTACAGAAGAGTACCTATAGGATGTTTCGAGAAATGTTATAAAATATTTTTTGTATATTAGTAGATTCTTTCTGTACTTATTCAAATTAAAATATCTTCATGCAATATAGCAGTATTACACTTACTTATTGATTGTCAAAAAATACTACTAACGGTTCGGAAAAAAGCCACTGACCTGAAAAGAACCGGCGATAGAAACACAGCGGGATTTTTTTTTCTTTTAACAATGTGACAAATAACAAACATGTTTGTCATATTGAATAGAATTGAATATATTCAATTCCACTTGAAAGAGCAAGGAGCGTTCAATTCATTTCCAGAGTGTGTTATCATTTAAATAATCACAAATGCTATAATAGCCTTTAGCAAATAATTTTCATTTTGAACGTTTTCTGGGATTTTGTTGTAAAACCGTATACATTGTCCCATAAAATATTTACTAATTCTACGCAATCTAGATGAGACTTGATTTGAGCATTATCATAACTGATTCAATAATTACGTTCTCTTTTTCAGATGCTGCACACTCCTGTACGGGACTTGAAGGCGAAAAATTGTAATTAATATGGCCAATGATACTCCTTATACAGTAACATCCGTTACAACTTAATTGAAGAATGGTCGCGTAACGTAACGAAATGGCGCGTATCCAACTTGGTACCGTAACCACTTTTATAATGTGTAACTTGTGTATTAGCGTTCAAGAAGGCTTAGATAGAAAATATTTAAATGAAACGATTCAAGCAAACCCATTAGATAGATTCATAACAAATTCCAACCTTTTGAGCAACGATACAAACGATGCAATAAAACATCTTAATTCTATCATAATATCAAGAGACAAGCGGTCCGCCCCCAATGCAACAGATGAACAGAAAAAGACAACAAATCAACAGGATACTGGTTTAACGTATATTGATGATAAAAACAATTTAATGGCAACGACAGAATTGGTTATTGAGAATATGGAAAATACGAATAACCGAACTAAAAACAGACCCGAGATAATAACAGAAATGGAATTAAGTACTGACGATTACGATGAGTTAAATATAACAGAGGAGCCATGCGTTGGAGATCCAGAATTTTGCAACATGACAAAGGACGAGTACCTGGAGATGTTGAACGACTACATATACCCACAACCTTACGAATGGGTACTAATAGCGACGCACGCCATTGTTTTCGTGATCGGATTGATTGGGAACGCCTTAGTGTGTATAGCGGTTTACAGAAACCACTCAATGAGGACAGTCACGAATTACTTCATTGTGAACTTAGCAGTCGCGGACTTCATGGTTATACTGATCTGCCTGCCACCAACGGTCCTATGGGACGTCACCGAGACATGGTTCTTCGGCACAGCTATGTGCAGGATCGTGCTGTACTTTCAGGTCAGGACATATGTGCTAAACCTCCAAATTTATTAATTTCATTATACACTTCGTTGCAAGCGTTGAAAAATTTTTAGGCATCAACAACCCTTTGGATAGCAGACACATGTATCTTGTACTATGTTCCTTACCCACCTTGTACAGTTAACCCACTTACTTTCGACGATGACGATTATATAAAAATACTCTATAACATTCAAATATTATTAACAGAATATTAGCGTTATGAGATGTGCGATTTTTTATCTTAATGAAGCCATTTTTTAATAAAAACCATTTAAATAAATACCTGCTGACAGGCATATGAACTACACATATTAGTTGCTTTAAATATTTATTGTTACAAGAGCTCTTTTAACAATCCGGCATTTCAAAATTTTATGTTTTGTTGTCATTCTAATGTTATGTTAATGTTGTATATGTTGTTTTAAATGGTAATAATACTTTTCGAATTTTCATTTAATTTTTTCCTGGATCAAAATAATGACTTATAGAATATTTGAAATTTTTATTTTAGTCATAGCATAGCTCTCTTTTTTTAGGGCGCCTTCTTTGGTATTTACATACCTTTATTAGTCATTCATCTCTGTTATTCGTACATAATTGTGTTAAAATTTTGCGTCTCGATAATACAGCTCAACGTATCTTTTGTTGCAGTCCGTATCAGTGACGGTATCTGTGCTGACACTGACTTTCATCTCTGTGGACCGGTGGTACGCGATCTGCTTCCCGTTGAAGTTCAAGTCCACAACCGGACGTGCCAAGACTGCCATTCTTATCATTTGGCTACTGTCTTTGCTGTTCAGTAAGATTTTAAAGATTCCATTTTAAAACGTTTCTATTTTTATTCAAGAACCGTAACTTTTTTAATGTTAGAGTAATATCCGTCGCAATGCAGCAGATAATGCTAAACTGGATACGTACATATGAAAATATCTGATAGCCCTTACTTTGATGTGTAACCTTTAAAAAAAAAGTTTTTTTTAAGATTATAATACACATTTTAATACCTAAACTTTTTGTAGATGTTCCGGAATTTGTGGTGTTGCAAGTGCAAAAAAAGATGCAATTAAGATTTAATGTGCAATATTTTATGCAATGCACGTCGACTTGGTCAGACGAAAGCGACCTGAAGTGGCATATAATAAAGGCACTTTTTCTATACACGTAAGTATTTAAAATAGATATTATATATAGATAATTATTAATTTATCCATATTGCCTTCGATATAAATATATTCTCCGAAATATTTTTATGAAGTTTGAAGTGCATACTATGATCTTTTTGACAGGTTTCCCTTACTTCTGATGATGATAGCATACTGCCAAATTGTGAGGGTACTTTGGAGATCGGACAACATACCCGGCCATACTGAATCTCACACACTTTGCTCAACTCCAAGTAGACCGAATAATTGTAAGTTTCTTTTGTCTCAACCAAGCAATTTTAAGTGTTTATTTTTAATTTACCTCTTGAGACGAAACTTTGTTTTTAATTTACCTGTTGAGTCCACGGTGGCCTGGTTACCAAAACTTTGATTTACTTCCCGTTGTCAATTTTCTTTTCTTTGCAAAATGTTTTCGGTAAAAAAATAAATGTTTGTTATATATATATATATATATATATATATATATATATATATATGCGTGCATCGCATTATGATATTAAAACGATGCACGATGAGTTTTGATTTTATATTTATTACCGTTTATTTCCACTCATCCATCAAATAACTGCTTTACCAAGGTTAATTTGTTTAAAATTTTAGCCACGATTTTTTAAAATGAGTCGGGTTCGTTTTTCATCTCTGTAGTCGATTTTTTCTGTTTTTTTCAACTCCGAACGCGTAATTAATCGCACCCGTCGGTTTTATAAAAGAGCCGTAATGAAATCGATTTATCAAAACCAATTTCACGCAATCTGGAATCCGTCAAAATTTGACATGGGTGCGGAATAAAGGGTGACGCATTGTAAAACAATTTGGCGCGGCGCGTGTGTTTACTTAAAAATCAATTACCGGACTACAGTTTTTTTTTCTTCTTTCCAAATAATTCATATGACAACTACAGAAACAGCTTGGGAATATCGCTGGTGATTTGGTATCGCTAAACGGTGCGAAAATCAAAAATATTAATAGCCCTAGGTGTAAAATCCAAACTACTTCGTACCTTTGCCCGTCTGTCTGTAAGTTTGTCTGCTAATTACTAGACAAAACGAAAGAAAAAAAGTAAAGAAACGGCTAGTATGTGTTCCACTGCTGGGCAAAGGCAGGGTACTAAGGCATAGTCCACCAACCGACTGTTTATAATGCTGTGGCAGATTTCACGATTTATCTCTGGGTTACACAAATACTTGTCCCGTGTGGGAATCGAACCCAAGATCGCTGGCGTTGAAGCCAAGCTTAACAACATAATATATAAATATAAAGAGATATATTTTATATTCATATATTATGTTTCTTTCCATTTAGTGATACATATATGCTTTTATTATTTCATTCACCAACGAAAATCGTAACGTCTTTTATCTACATTGTTTTTTAACATTTGAAGCAATGTTTGGCACATCCATTGCTATATCCTTTCCAGCATACAAACAATTTCGATTATCGTTTTACGATACTTCGAACGAGAGATGTCACCATTGCTTTTATAAATTTAAATTTTTATAGTGCTAATCTCTGTAGATAAAATACGTAACATTTTCGTCGGTGTGGCAATCAGCTTAGTGGCTAAAGCGTCAGGCCGCGAATGCCGATTTTGGGTTCGATTGCCACAGGGGCGAAAATTTTTTCGTACTTTTTTTTTAAATTTTAATATTGAAGTTATAGTTTAAATTTTTAGTGCTCAGTCAGTACTAATTCAGTGACAGTTTTATCTACACATTTTAAGCTTATTTATAGTTCTAGCTCTTTTTTTTTTACGAAGATGCTACGCGAGCAATCGGTTCACCTGATGTTGAGTAATTACCACCGCCCACGTAAATTTTACCTGATGTTAAGTAATTACCACCACCCACGTAAAGGACAATGTTCTTTATCCATACATTGATTGCCCCAGAACCAACAGCGAAGGTAAATTACTTTTTGAGTTCTAAATGACAAGTAGAATCCCATAAAAACAATGTTTAATGACGGACACCTCGGAGAAAATATTTATTTGAAAAAATAACTATTATTTTGAGGTTATGTTTAGTAAAATCGTCCGAACGCCTCACGAGTTGTTGCGAGTTACACACGCGGCTCGCGCGCGCGGTTCATTAGACGTTGCAACTTGCATCAACTCGAGTTGAGTGAAATGCAAAGTTACGTTACACACGCGCGCGCGCTTGGTAAGGTGTTGCATCTTACTCGCATCGACTCGAATAGAACTCGGTTTGAGTCGGGCTCGGTCGGAAACGGAATTGCGCGAATGAAAAACGGCGTTAAAAGTTTCTTCTTCTTCTAAGGCAGTTGGCGGTCCATATGATATCGCCAATGACACAATTGTGATAAAGAAACAAATGGTTTCAAATATCTAAGAATATTAAAATTCTCAATTTTATAATCATAAAAATTATGAAACTAACGTATAATCAAAAACAATTCATGTGTCAATCCGTTAAAAGTTTATTTTGATTTTTGATTGACATTTTGTTGTTTAATTTTATTAGTTGACCGTTGGTGAACCGCGTGCGGTGAATCTTTTTGATTTGTTAGTGATCTGTTGTGTTTTGTTTGTAATGACGTCAAATAAAAGAAGTGTGGCGTAGGAATTCTTTGCTATAAAAACAGAAACTTGTTTTTAACTTTTTTTTCGATTAGCAATCGACTATGTACAATTGATTTATAAGTACGATTTTGAGGCGATAGATGGCGGTGTTTTGTTTGTCGTATTTTTTTTAAACACGATGTTGAGATTTACGTTGGAATATTATAGACCTTTGTTGGTTTTCGAAATAAATCCCAGTCAGATAATAGCTACCGAGCGAGCCGAGATCCTTGAAACCCCAACCGTCGGACACTATCCGAGTTGACTAGAAAAAGGAGAGGATTTTTTCAGACCAGAAAGTTGCGAATCAACTCGAACGCCATATCACATCACGATTCAACATCACTATTATTACCTATCTAATACGCCTCGAGTCGAGCTGACAAAAATCAATTTATTCGATTTAATTTACAAAAAAATATCTTATCCAGTATGTAGGTAGTATGTATATTGATATTTTGTATATATCTAAACTACAAACTATCTACAAAATGTTTATTTTTAATAAAAACTTCAAGGTAGCTCTGAGACGCCATGCCGCGCGCGCGCGAGTAGAAATGGCGCGAGTAGAAATGGCGGCCGATTTTATTTTAAGAAAAATAGGTAATAAACAAACAGAAAAAGAATTGGTTAGATTTAAAAATACATTATAATGTCAATACAATATTGACTATTGTTATGGTGCATTATTATCAAGAATCGATTAAAATTATACAGTGACGTCCCTAGTTGAAATGACATCTTGATTTAAGTTGTACAAATGGTGGAGTTGTTGATGTTTAGTCGTTACAGTACTTTTAAATATATACTATTTATTTACAGGTGTCCGTTTGATTCTAATATCCGCAAGTAGTATAATAAAATAATATAAAAATTTGAATATGAACGTTGTTTTTGTGTTGGTCTTGGGGCAACTTTCGACAATGTCCTTTACAACACTTGTAGGGTTGTGGATGTATTGGCAAATTTTAAGATAATTAACTTCGGTTACCTTACTCATCAGACGAAACGCAAAAGTATAACAAATACATTTCACGGCAGTCTTAAAGAAGGCTGTGCCATTTCCCGTGACAGTTGATGAACCTTGTACTCCAGCTTGAATCTTAGTGTTTTAACTGGAACGGTACCTATGTATGTTGTCCATACATTGTTCATGCGTCCTACTAGACAAGGACCACTCCTGTAGAATCGATTAAGGAATATTCCTCCAATACTGTGAAGCGGCAGGTATCTCATGTAGTACATATGTACTAAGATCTATAGGTTTCAAACGTTAATGTGGGTAGCACACGCTTAATTTGTTGTAATAAGTTTGCGCGTTTGGTACTGTTTAATTATAGCCTCCCTTTTGACCATCAATGTTATTACCATTAACACCGTACACTTTTGCAAAAGAAATTACCAGTTTGTTTTCTAAAAAAACAAATAAAATTAATGAACCTCTCCTTTATCACATTGCCCATTCGTTTGGTCAGACATGGTTTATAAGACAGAGCCGGTAGATGAAAAAGATTAGCTTTGTCCATTGCTGTCTTTGTTTAATAATTTCCTTGTTAGGGCTGGCGGCTAGCAGACGCACCACGACTTCGATTCACGCCAACGCCTCTACAGAGGGTCAGCTACGTTCCCGCCGAAAGGCCGCTAAGATGCTAGTCGCGGTGGTCATCATGTTTGCCGTATGCTATTTCCCCGTACATCTGCTATCGGTGCTCAGGTGAGATTGCTATTTTTTTAACCCATTTCTTGGGACTCTAAATTTAACTAATAAAAAAAACGGCACATGTAGTAGTACTAGTAATATGAAAGGTCTTATTCCACCTCACGGAATTTGGTTATTTCACAAGATCAGCGTAAGATGCATCGTTCATAGACCACGGACTATAAGTGAGCACTTAATTAAATTAAAAAGTAACAACCTGTACATGTCCCACTGCTGGGCAAAGGCCTCCTCTGTAAAGAGGGTATCAGGGCATAGTCCACCACGCAGCCCCACTGCGGATTGGCGGACTTCACATATCTTCGAAATATTTTTTTATTACTTCGAAAATATGCAGGCTTCCTCACGATGTTTTCCTTCACCGCTGAGCACGTGATAAGGCAGCACTTGAAATTAACAATTTCATTGATGCCTGGGATCGAACTCAGGTTGCTCGAGTATATTGAATTAAAGGCGAGCGCCCGGACACTGAGCTATCACGGCTCTAATTAAATTAAGATTTAGATAAAGGTTACACTATAGAATATTGTCAACAGAAACCGACCAGTGTTACCAATGAACTTAATTTTTTTAGGGGGAAGGTGGCAAACGATCTGACGCTTCACCTGATCTTAAGTAATAACACAGCCGCCTATTGACATTTGCATCATTCGTAGGATTTTAGATGCGTTGCCACCTTACTATAAAGTGGACCCGGCTACCTCACTCACCAGACGAAACGCAAAGTAGCGGTACCTACCCGGACGGACCTGCCCATACGTGCAACAGTGAAGACTATTACGTAGCCATATCACAGTCTCAAAAACAGCACCATTTTAACAATGTGTTTAACGTATTGATTATAAAGTCCAATTTTATTAGGGTTGCATACGACGTGCAACAGAGCGATGTGATGACGTGTATAGCACTCATCTCTCACGTCATGTGCTATGCCAACTCCGCTGTCAATCCGTTGATCTACAACTTCATGAGCGGTAAGTACAAACCTATGGTGCTGAACAACGTACTGAAAAACATCTGTGAATATCATGACACGATTCGAGTGCCCGATTACAATGTCTTTAGAATTTTTTAAGTCATAACTTCCTAAGGGTAATAAGCTGTAACCAAATTGATTTGTCGTGTTTTATATTGGTCGAAAACCTAAAAGAGGGTACCGAATTCTTGTTTTTGGTATTTTTATCCTGTACTGGGTAACCTTGACTATTTACCACCCGTATACAATCAAGAATATTCTTCTAAACTAGTTCCCGGTATATGAAAATAGTCATTACAGAAACCTTTATAGTAAATATCATGCAATAACAGTTTCGATGCTTTATCACAGTCTTGACCTGAAACATAACAATGTCATTGTGTGATTAACTCTTCATTTTCATATATCACGTAACATTCATAGCTGTAGCAATTGTCTTTACTGGTTTATTATGGAAGTTTTCGTAACGGAAAAAGTTTTATACATTATTTTGTTGGAGTAGTAGTTATGATTTGATTTTGATATACGTCTATATTTATTGTTTGCGATTATTCGAACATAAGGATTAGAACAGGATAGGAACTATTATTATTGTGGTGTTATTATCAAATAAAGTTTAGTATGGATCAGATATGGTGCTACACTACGAACATTGACCATAACTTGAAATGTGTGGTTTTTATTGCCTCTTTGTTAAAAATAAAGTACACACTACGCATATTTTTGAAGACAAATGTATAGGTCATCATTCTACTCCAGTAATTTTGTTAACAAGTATTTTGCAGCTAAAGTTCTATCAATTTTAATCATTAGGTCAAATTAATTACTAGCATCTCTACGTTAAAGGCTATTTCTTTCGAAGCTTAGCAAGCGATACGATTGTTAGCTTTTTGTTTAATATCCGTTAAAAATACGTCACATCTACATTTTGCTTGCAGGATTCCCCGGGTTTTCAGGTTAGTAAGCGACAACTGGCTCCAACCGAGTTTCAATGTCAAGCAAATAATTTCCTATTTACCCCGCTGTTTATTTTTTTTTGTCGCATGTTGCTCGATGTTCACGTCACGCGAAATGGATTGCTGCAAAGCCGAGGGGTAGGGAAAGTTGGACGATAACCCTGCGTAAAACGTAATTGCCTCGAGATATCGAATTTTAGTGAATTTATGAATCGAAACTCGTGAATCGTGACTTTATCCCCAAAGTCGTGGATCGTAATCATGGTTTATTCCCAATTCGCAGATTACAATCTGTGGATATGGGAATCAAATATTCGAGAGCATGTTGCAGGCAATAATAAAGTTGGACATTTGAGTTTTAGTATTGTCCCTTTATTACAAATACAATAGATTTGAATACATTACAATGACGTTGGGTGTAACAATTGAAGTATTTGATGTTCAAATTGAAATTGTTCGAAAAACCTATATTATTACTTAATTGAAGCCAGGACCCATGGGTTGTGATGAAAATACTATTACATGAACTACGCGGTCTTTGTTAGAATGAGATGAGGTAATGAAAACTGTAACTTCAATGTAAAGTCATCTATATGTTTATGATAAAATATTCTGGACACATAAAATCTAAAAAGCACTATTATATTCACAAGTTTTTAATAAGTATTGAGCACGAATCGATCACACGTGTACCAGGATCATATTTATGTTCATCAACCCCACATGTAATAATTCCAAGATTTATTTGACCACGCATTTTTTGAAATTCCTATCGATATTTGTTTCCCATGGCTAATAAGTCTTGGAATATTACCTTTGTAAGCCCGTTTTAATTTTGAGCACTCATGTTCCAAACGGCTTAAGCACCATCAAACCTACACGAAACATTACTCATGATGCTACTCCTCACCGAAGATCCCTCCAAAGCACCCAGATTGCTGCTATCCATTCAATCGAAATACTAAACACATACGCTATTTCCCACTACATATTCTTCCATCGAAAACGTTCCAGGTCCCTCTAGAACATTCCATTGCAGATGTCCACTGTACCGAACCAACGCACCACGTTATTCCCACCGCAAATCCTTCTTCCAGAACATTCCAGAATGCTTTAGTGTTCGCCCCGCAGCAACTCCCTCCAGAACGTTCCAGTGCGTTGCTGCTCACTATTCGCGTTCACAGATGACGCGTTGTTTCAGGCAAGTTCCGGCGCGAGTTCCACAGGTCGTACTTCAAGTGCTTCTGCTGCTGCTTCACGCAGCCAGGGGCGGAGAGGAACGGCGCGTCGTTCGGGCCGATCAGCTCCCGTGGCACCACCCGTACGGTCGTCCGCCGCAACGACTCCTGCGCCAGCTATCGCCTGACGCACTTGTCGCCGTCAGAGCGCCGCGTAGCCTATAGGCCCCACCCGCCCTGCGTCTCTCACACGAACGGCGATCGGCCTAGGCTCCGCGACGAGCCCGTCAGCGAGTCCACCCGCTTCAGCTTGGACACGGGGCGCGATTGACGCGCGGGGGGCGCCCTCGCGTGCGGCGGGTGCACGGCCGCGGGGGCGGGGGGAGCGGCGATCGACTGCAAGCCCCACTACGACTGCTTCAAAGGGGACTCAACCGAGGCTGGGGATGGCTTCGGATTCAAGTTCAGCCGCGACTCCAACAGCTGTCGGATCACGGGTAAGGGGCTCGACGTGATGTACTAGGTCAAAAGTGATTGGAACATTTGGGGTACCTTCTAGTATGGACTTTTAGTGTTAGTATACTACCACCGAGATATAGCCGGCTGGATTATTGTCTCAGTCGAAGTTATTTATAAACCAACTGCAGTGCTGTGTAAGCTTGTTATGAACCAACTTGGACGGATCTGATTGTTTCGAATTGTTTATAACAATCTAATTAAGCTGATTAAAAATTGTGCAACCCAATTTCAGTTATGTTTAATTACCTAAAGTAGTAAAGATATAACATTTCGATATTTAAAGAAAATCGAGTTTAATAAAACAATATAAAATATTACTATTCTATTTAATATAATTATATAAATGTATATAGATACCTTAATGGCTACATAATTGAAGTATAGAAATAAGTATTTATGATAGTTTTATTTTACGTTAGTTTTATGGTATTATTATTATTATTATTATATATACTTTATTGTACACCACAAAGAATTTGATACAATTAGTATGAAATAAGTCTTAAAAGCTAGGTACAATAAGGCGGTCTTATCGCTTAAAAGCGATCTCTTCCAGACAACCTTAGGACGAGGAAAAACTAATGAATAGTGGGAGGTGGTGTGCTCATGCTATGGTATATTATTGTATATATTATATAAAGGGGAAAACATTTTCAATTAAACTTTTGAAGTATGGCTACGAAGTACCCATATAATACCAATACCAGCTTAGCTGTTGGGATCTGAAAGTATGATAATAAGAAGACAGAGCGTGTTAACTAGAGTGATAGTCTAACGGCCCACGGGGGTGAGGTTTCGACTCCGACGAAAACTTGGTTCTCATGGGAATCACCCACTGGTTAAAGATACTTAATGAACATAAAATGGAACATTTATTCATTCGAACATATCTACACAAACAAAACATACAAAATGCCATGCTTACACTTACAAAAAGTTAAGTATAGTAACAGCCTATATGTTCCACTGCTGGGCAAAAGCCTGTGTGGCGGACATATTGCGATCGACATATTGCGATCCCACTGCGAGTTGGCAGACATATTTTTGAAAATTTTTTTTGTTATTATTATTTTGAGTTATTATTATATGTCTTGTTATATTGATTTATTATTATATATATTTGAGTTATTATTTTGAGAAAATTATCGGGCTCCCGCAAAATGTATTCTTTCACCGCTTTTCGTGATAATTCAGCACTGAAAATTGCAATTAATACGAGTAATTTTATTAGTCCAGCACCACGTTAATTTGAACTCCAGTATATTGGATTAAAAGCGAGCGCCCAGACGCTGAGCTATTACGACTTGAAATACATACAAATGTATTTGCATAAAAATTTTAGGTACAGCTTATAGAAGTACTAATTTGGGCTATATCGCCTTTTCCCTTTAATTATCTTATTTTGTTAGTAGAGTTTTTTTTTTTATTTGAGAAGGTGGCAAACGAGCGGGCGGTTCACCCGATGGTAAGTGTTAACCGCTGCCCATTGACATTTGCAACAGCCGTAGGTTTGCAGATGCGTTGCCACCTTTTAATAAAGTCGGCCTGTGGTAGAGCTTTGTTGCAACTTCTGCTGTTAAACGTTATAATTAAGATTGTTACACACTTCTGTATCTGTTCCAATAAGTAGTAACCGGTGCTCAATTTTAAAGGAGATTGTGGTTATCCATTGGCACGGTAATAACTTAACGTGACTTGATATCGCCTGTTCACTTCCCCCAAAAGATTAACCGAGTTGACGCGAGTCTATATCTACTCTCTGTTTTAGCCGGAGTTGGATTGTAATCGGATCTAGTTCATTACGGCCGCCCTGTTGGTAAACCGAGCGGGCAGGAAGTGCCTTGTTTACGCAAAACACCCGCGACGCGTTCGTTAGCGGCTAATGTCGGGTGGGTCGTTTTATTTTAGCCCGGCTATATGCTACATCGGGACCGCTACCCTGATTGCCGCTATTTTGGTGTTTATCGCTTCGGTGTTACTATGGCTTCGGAAACATCTCAATTATAATGATAATAAATATTTCAGGACACATTTTACACAACATTTTCTAGTCCCAAACCAAGCAACGCTTGTACTATGGATACTAGATAACTGATAAACATAATTAAACATACTTTTCTTTCGTAAATAAATACATATTATAAATATACAAACACCGAGACACTGGAAACACACTATGTTCATCACACAATATTTCTCCAATAGTGGGGATCGAACCCACACCCTCTGGCGCAAGAGGCAGGGTCACTACCCACAACGCCATACGGGTCGTCCAATGGCCATACTTCAAATATCTCATAGCCTAGTAAGGCTATCTGGTATTTGAAGTATGGCCAAAAATACACCCGAAACAGAGGAATTCGATGTTTGTACGGTCACTTGTTAGTTAGTACTAATTAAAGTTACTTAGTCACTTTTTACTTTTTTACCACATTTTTTTTTAATTATTATAACAGTCATAGATATAACAGTGAATATATTTTTGTAGTTAAGACAAGCAGTGGCCAAAAGTTAACAAATACGAAACTGACCTAAATAAAAGAAACAAAGAGTAAGTAATTGTAATTGAAAAAAAAAAATACATTATGATAACTTTTCTGAAAGTTAACTAAAAGTTTGATCCGTGTTGACTGAAGCAAAAAGAAATAATATTTCAGGAGGGAAATATCCCGACTATTATATGTGATTAAAATAGTTAACTAATGTGTAACTTTAATCGTATTGGCAAACATCTCTTATTGATCTGTCATTTGATCATGACTGCAATTTGAAGTATTGATTTTTAGGGTTCCGTACCCAAACAGTAAAGCGGGACCCTATCACTAAGACTTTGCTGTTTTTTTATCCCTCTGTCTGTCTGTCTGTATGTCCGTATGTCACCAGACTGCATCTCATGAACCGTGATAGTTGGACAGTTGAAATTTTCACAGATTATGTAGTTCTGTTGTCGCTATGACAAAAAATACTAATATTAAAAGAATAAAAATATTTAGGCGGGGCCCCCATACAACAGACATGATTTTCTTGCCGTTTTTATAGATAATGGTACGGAACCATTCGTGCGCGAGTCCGACTAGTACTTGGCCGATTTTATATGTTGGCTCTCCACGTATTGATACTGAAGCCCATTAGTTTTTTTGTGAAAAGTTGCCAAACGCAAGACATCTGCTACACCCGAGGGTTGCAGATGCGTTGACAACCTTTTGAAAATTGGGCTCCGGCCACCTCACTCACCAGACGAAACGCGAAAGTATTATATTTCCACTTTACGCTGGTCTTCTGTGAGGTCGTGGTACTTAGGCTGCTGCGTGGCCCTACCACCGTAGCCTATGTAGCCATTATGTTAAGAATATTTCTCGTCACTATGTCCGCATACGGGTTTATATGTATACTACTTGTATTTAATAAGTACTATTTAAGTAAAATTTAATTTTTAAGGATCATGAAAGCATTTTGTACACTAATCAACAGTTACTTTTAAGCCGATAGAGTTAAGGTTGATGTAAATATGATTAGTCGTTAAAATATGTTTTTAATGCTTTCGCTAAGCGATACCTTAAGATTTTGTAGATACCAAATATATGAGTGGTTAGAATACTTGTCCTTTTCTTGTAATGTATACCACACATTTTATATATTATAGCAATGACGGACAGGTTTTCAAGCCTAATCTGTATAATGACCCTCGCTGAATCTGTACATTAGCTTTCAATTTTTTAGATCAAATATACTATTTCAGTCAGTAAAAATGCATTATTTTAAATACATTCAGCACATTTAAGTGACTCCGTGGCGCAGTCTGCGGGGGTCGTGGGTTCGATTCTCACACGAAATAACTATTCGACCCACGCCTGTGGTTTAAACTATCTAGTAGTTTCGCATCTGCGCGTTTGTCCACGTGAAATTTATGTTTGTAAAACGTCCCTACAACCTAGGATAAAGTGAGGGCAATGATAAAACCACTAGAAAAAAAAAAAGTATTGTTTATCGTTTTGGGAAAGGACCATCATATACTGAAATCATCTCATAAGTTCCAATCATTTACTTATAGGGTTCAGTCTGAATTGCATTGTTTATACTAGGGAAAAGTTTCATTGTACTCCTGAAGTGAAGTTAGATATTTCTGAAAGCTATTTCATTTAAGATAAAGAATGATATTCGGCCTATATTTTACATTGAGTTCTTTTTTTAAAAGAGCGTATTCTAAGTTTGTATAAAGATGTTGTCGTTTTCATTATTAATATTTAAAAACTAAGTAATTATTTTCGAATAGAAAACACTTTTAAGGCCTTTTCCATTTTTTAATGCTCTTCTTATATGAAATGATCATAAGCGAGATGGTATTGTTTGGATAGAAATAAAAATATTCTTTCTTTTGTACATAGGCTTTAATAAAACGACACAACAAACTAGAATATAATGCAACGGAGATTTGACATGTTTAACCGAAACAAAATTTAAAAGGTTACTAAGTTTGTTTTTAAAAGGAAACAATGACCTTACTGTAGAATAACATATAATATATGATACATGTTACATGTAACTTATAATATATGATATATATATATATAATATAATAGGTTGGGGAAAAGTTTCATCGCATTTATATGAAAATTCAATTTTTAGAAAATTTAGGTATTAATGTAGGTGCCATTTTGTTCGATAACTTTCTGCCATCTTGTAGGTAGGGACATGATCCCATTGCTATAGAAATTTTGAGGCTTCTGATCAAAAAACCGCGACAAGTGGTTTTGGCAGTCCTCTTGTGATGTCAACCTGACACTGCTCAACGAATTCTGAAGAGACCGA